TAATAATAATAATAATAATTTACAGCAAGGTTTCAATAGGCTCTCGCAGCGCTTAGCTGCTCGGGCCTAAAAAAAGTTCCCAGTTGAAGTGGAGGGCAGGTTGCCTTCTAGTTTAGCTCTGTTGGTTTGATATAAAATGTTTGCTCCAACAGTGATTTCCACTGACTGAGAAAGATACTGAGCTACAGGAGTGGATCCAGCCACAATGCCAGAGAGCACGCTACTCCCCCATCAGGACTACAACCGCACCAGGGACTGATGGGCTCGTATTACACCAGAGCAGACAGAAAAGTAGCACCGCCAGGCCTTCAGAGGAGCAGCTGCAGGAAGGTTAAAAAAGGAGAACCCTGTCCAGCCATTACACACACACACAGATAGTAACAAAGTGCTTTCTATTGCCCAACTGTTTCAGATCATCCATTTGTACTATTTTCCCTTCGGTCGTGGCTAATCTGCTTCAGTTTCTCCACCTACCACTATCAACTTGAATCTTGTTTTTTGTTCTCACACACAATTACAAAACAAAAGGCCAGAATTTAGCCACCATCCAGCAGCCATTGTGGTTATTGCTCCCTGGAGCTGACATGCAGGAGAGTCAACAGCTTGATTTAAATACAAAGAATCTCTAATCTGTTTGTTTTCGTAATAGCCAACAAAATAAAATGCTTAAACTGCAGCAGACAAACTTGGCAATATTTGTGAAAGTAAAGGCAATACAATACATCAATAAACAAATCACATCAATTCCAGTTTATCCAATGTATTGTCACAGAAATATAAATAAATTAGATCATTAATAAATCAAGTGTTTTCTATTTATTGGTCTGTTGATGCAGTGAATCAGGCTTACAGCTGTGCACCGTCTCCATGTATTGGCAACCATGGTAAAGATGTGTAACAAACCTTAAAATAATTCACTTTTTCATTGTTCTACCATAATCTCAGTGAAATATGAAAAAAAAAACCTTGTATCTTTAATATGATTTCATTTGTAATGTCAGAAAAAACACACTTATTAGCATTCAATCCTTACAAACAAAGATAATCAGAGCATTTTTACTACATAATTCATTTTAATTGGTAATCCAAGACTACTTATTTATCTGGTGACAAATAGCCTTACTTCTTTTAACCACTGGACACAATTAGAAGAACAGTAAGATGTTGGAGAACTGCAGTAGAGAAGCATCATGAAATAACCAAGTCTGAAATGTGAGATAGAGGAAGAGCATGTTGAAGTATCTCATCACCGTTAAGTTAGGTGGAGGATCTGTGAATCTGTGTGCGCTCCGGTTCTTTTTATTTTCTGAGTATTTTAAAGAGGTTATGGTGCCATGTACTCTCATAATATTCCATTTGAAAGGAAAATAGACTCATATGATCAAATACTCAGTGTTAACTGTGATAGAGGATCTGTGATGCTGTGGGTTTATTTAATCTTCAAGATAGCTTGAGATTTATTGTGTCATCAACTCTTTGAAATGCCAGGAGCCTTTTACATAAAAAATGATGATGGTTTCTAATGGACAGCTGGAAATGGGTTCATTTTGGGGCCTTTCCTCAGAAACATGATCCAAAACATACCACAGAAAAACAGACGTGGTTCAGAAAACATCAAATCGACCTTTTTCTTTGACCATTTTAGTCTTAAATATTACATAAAACCAAAGGGGCGAGTTGAGAAAAGTGCAAAAAAGAAACCTAAGAGTCTGGATGAGAAGACCCTCTGTGTATGCTCAAACCTTGTGAAATGAAGGCTAATAGGTGTCCGACTGGTAAAAGGTTTTACAGCGGGGATTTAAAAAAAAAAAAAAAAAAAAAGCTGTTGTTTCCTAAAATGCATTTTTGGCCCCACTGAATAAATTAAGACAGATTAAAACTTGTACCTTAAAAGAAATTACGAGTGAACTTGTGTTGCTATCATGAAAGTATAATCCATTTTAAGACTTTTTAAACATCTTTACCAAAAAAAAAATAACAGGAAGTATTGAAGGAGCCATATCTCTTCTTTCACGTAAAACAACTTCTGATAAAGTTACAACAGATAAAATCGTATTTTTCAATGATCGGCACCACTGAATTATATTTGAAGTTAATCTGTAAAAACTAAACGTACACTGCAGACTTTAGACTGACTATTGGTAGTGAAGGGAGATGTGATAACTGGTGAGTGAATCTTGATAAAAAGTCCCGTTGAACATTTCCCCCCCCCCCCCAACTCCTTCCACGTCTCCAGCGCGTCTGACCTCACTTGAAACGCAGTGCTAAAAAAGGTATAATTTAATCTTCAATAACAAAATAACATTTCAGTTCTGGTAAAATATACATGGAAAAAAAACCTGTCAATATAGGAAACAAACTATTTTGTACAAAAATGTACATCTTTGCTCTTTTTCTAGCAGTTATAATAACATAGTATAATACACAAACTGAAGGGCAAGGCTGAAACCAAAATAGATCAAGCTCTTCATAAAAAAGTAACTGAAATTCATTGAATTTCAATTTGATGAAAACAAAAAAAAAAATCAAAAGCAAATAAATGAGCACATTCAAAGTACTTAATTAATAAAAATCACATCAGCATTGCACATCTAGCTAGAACACTATCTACTAGAGCCAGTGAATCTTTGCTCATCGCGAGGATTTCTCTTAACTGCATCAGACGCTATCGAGCCACATGACACTGCAGCTTCAGTTCACTGGATTCTTAGAAAATAATTGAAAAACTACTTTCATACCCATCAGCTGATCTCGTATAGCACTGTATATGGATGTTCAACAAGACTTAAGAGATCGCCCCCAAAAGTCCAGTCATAAATATGTTTTCAAAAAAAGGCATTTGGTAATCACCCTGTCTGTTTTCCATTTCAACATCTCTTCCTTTTCTCCCTTTTCAAACTATTCCTCTCAGTCTTTTATAAAAAGAGGTTAACCGGCTCTTTGTCTTCTTATAATAGCGAATGGACACAAAAAGACGTCGACTCCGTCGCAGCAGTTGGCCTTTCCAGACTCTCAACTCACTTGCGTCTCTTGAAGATGAATCAACTTCCTGGATTAACATTCATTACCTCCCACTTTTTCTCTTCATTACATACAGTGGCTCTCAAATATCTACACACCCCTGATAAAAAGGCAGATTTTTTTTTTTTTTTGATACATCATGTTACATTATGTGATATTGCTCTGGATCATTTAACAGAAAACATAAATCTGCTAGGGGAAAATCTAGAAACGAATAATGTGCCATACTTGATTGCAGAAGTGTGTATAAACTGAAACTAATACCTTACAGAAGCATCTTTTGATTCAGTTTCACCATCCAGCCTCATCAGCATACCACATCATGACTTGGTTAATATTGGATTACTCCCCCATTCTGAAGACAAATCCTGTTCATAACCCGTTTCAGGAGGACCAAAAGACTTCGTAAGCTGTTGTTTAAATCAAAACTTTACTTTTTCTTTAGTGAAGCCATTCATGTGTTGATTTGGATGCGTGCTGGGATGCTGGACTTTTCATTTTCCTTAACACCTGAAGGTGTTTGGAACCACTTTCTTTCTGTGAAGAAAAGTAACCCCAGATCATAATGCTGCTGCTACCACGTTTTGCTGTGTGGTAGGATGTTCTTTTTAAAACTGCAGTCATTTTTGTTTTTTGGAAAAATGCCTTCCTTTGCCACCTTATTTACAAATCCAGAGATATAAAAATTTTACTACACTGTTGAGCACATGTAATGCTTTGCAGATTTTCTACAGCCTATTCGGTTTTGCTGTCAGCCTCTTGGCAGCCTCCCAAAAATAATTACCATCATAGCATTCAATAGTTTCTGAGAAATGTCTGCATTTTTGTGTACCACAGATCGAGTACTGAAACTGAGACAAAAGCTACTTCAATAAAGTATTAGTTTAATGGCGGGCGAACAACTTTATCTTTTTCTAACATATTTGCTTATTTATTTGTTGAGGAAAAATGTTGAAATTACTTGTCATGATCCAAAGTTTTTTTTTAAAACATAAAAAACTTGCAACTGGGGTATTTAGCCTTTCACAGCCCACTGTATGCTTCTCAGAAATAAATAACCATATGCAATGCTAATCCATGCCAAGAACAGAAAAAAAAAAAATAAAATAAAATAAAATAAACATATTCCATTCCACAGAAACATAAATTTTAGTTTCATCAGTTACTTATTTTCATAATTTATTTTTTTGTGTTTTTTTTGTAAAAATAAAGTTCCTGAAATGACTTAAAAACGCAAAAAATAAAAAAAATAAAATAAATGTCTTCAGGCTTTGCTAAGCAAAACAAAAACAAACATGGTAGTAGGAGAGAGGGGGATGCAACTAAGGAGTATAGGTGGTGGGAGAAAGATCCTGGCTTAGTGTTAGAAGGAGAGGTCCGAGTTGTTTTGTTTTTTTCTGCAGGAGGAAGATGAGAAGCTGGGTTCTTGGTTCGGATCAAGTTGTCCTTCGACACTCCAGACGCCTAGCTGTCTTCTCACAAACCTGAACGGGCTTTGTGATGCTACAACCGCACCCTCAGTTGTCAATGAGCAACCCGCCCACCCAGCGGAGCTTGCAGGCGAACCACCGCCTGAGCGGACAAAAGTACTCGTAATGGAACTGTTTGAACTCGGGGGTTTGACGGATGTCGCTTAAAAATGCGATGTCAAGGTCTGACTCGGTGAGGATGATAAGGAGGAGGAGCAAGACAAAAAGGAGTCCAATGGTGACGAGGAGCAAGCGGAGGACGCTTAAGACGAACTTATTCACCTGTTCCACCTCGCTCAGGGCTGAGTCCTCCCCTGCTCCTTCCTGTGCAGCTCTACCGTCCGCCCCGAAATCGCCCCCATCCCCTCGCATCGGGGTGCCCGCCTCCGACTCCTTTTCCTCCTCGATGCTGCAGGGCGCGCCGTTTATTTGGCGTGAGACGGACATGTCTGTGCTGTGTTCAGCCACCGGGGTGGGAAGGACGCTGTCTGAGGGACTGTAGGCCTCGTCCGAGATGACTGCCATCCCCTCGCTGGCATCTGTAGCGTGGCTGCGGGACCGTGGTAGGAAAGACTCTCCATGGGACACCGAACGCACCGGTGTAGAGTGGGCACTGTCACGCAAAGACTCCAGACCTGGGGGAGTGGGTAAAAAGACAAAAAGTGAAAAAAAAACTACATTAGGTTGGAAAGGTTGGCTTGAAAGACTAAAATGTCTATGTAAAATGTTCGCACATTCCTCAATCATCGACCAAGTTCAAGAATTGCCTCTGTTGTCTGGATAATATGGTTATAAACAAATATGCAATAAATTTAACTATTTAGTCACATGTTGAGCCAGTTTAAAATGACAAATATAGTGTCAAAAAGTGGTTCACCAAGGTTAAGCAGGGACAGCTTATAAAATACTATTTCTAACTTCTCATCTCAAACATCTCACCATCCAAACCATCATCCAGCAATAGACAGGGCAAGAGGAGCAGTAATAAGAGAAGCATCAAAGAGGCCTGTGGTAACTATTGGGGAGCTGCAGAGTCCCAAAGCTTCAGTGGGAGAATCTGCTATTAGGAGAATTATAAGCAGTGCACAAACTTGGCCTTTTTAGAATACTGGCAACAAAAAAAGAAAAGAAAAAGTTAAACAAAGTCCAAATTGTAGTTTACTAGAAATTATAGGAGATGTATCAAACATGTGGAGAAAGGTGCTCTTGTCAAATGACTTCAACGTTTTTGGTCTGGTTGTACAACACCAAGATTTAGCATCACCTGAATACACCATTGATACATGAAGTCCGCAGCACCATGCTGTGGTGATGCTTTATTTGAGCAGGAACAGGGAAGCTCGTCAGAGTTGATGGGGGAATGAATGGCACTAAATACACTCTTAATACTTGAAGAAAACTTTTTAGCGCCTACAAGAGACTTTAGTGAATATTTGTCACCTACCAGGGCAACAACCAAAACTAATGCCAAGAGGTGGAATGCAGGGCTGAATTAATATAAATATAAATAAAATCATTTATATTTTTTTACTCTATAATTATGCACTATTTGGTGTTAGTTTATTGAAAAATAATAAAAAAAAGAAATTACATTGCAAATGCAGGCAGGACACAAGCAGAACCATATAGGGAAAGAAGTAGAAGACAACAAAAAAGGAAAAGCATGGAAGTTACAAATGGACAAAAACATACATAAATATCAAGGAGGAGGTAAGTAGAGAGAGCATGGAAGGAAGCACGAGAGGAGAAACTGAAATACATTTTTAACACAGGAAAACACTGCAGTCAGAAAACTAAATGGAAATCACTGTAAATATGACAACAAGAAAAACACAAAATCCTAAATCAAGTCCAGCAGATAATCACAGAAATGATCTGCGTCAAGGGGCATAAACACATTCACAAGCCACTGGACTAAATTCTATAATTACTATTACCCTGTCTTCCACAAACACACAACTATTAGTCAAGAAAAATGTTTTAGTTTAAACATACAATGTGATAAGCTTTTCCATTTATTTGGCAATTGAATTGCACCAAGGAAGTGACCGCGGGGGAGATTAAAGAATCAGCAAGCAAGGTTTGCATCCAATTTTTGCACCAGTCCGTCCAGAAGCAAATCACCCCCACAATATAATTTTCCCACGACCAAGGATACAGAACCTGCCAAGCATTTCAATGGTAGTGTTACCATCTGAATTTGAAGAATTCTCACTGGAGGTCTGCCATAGAGCAGAGACAGAGCAGAGACAGTCGCACCCCGTGGCCGATAATGTTTTTCTTAGAGTCAAAACATCATTGAATGGAGTTTGTATTTCAGGGACTTTCCAGCTAGCATAACGAAAGAATTCAACCTTGGCCAAGAAATACTGAACAGATTTGTTTCAGCAACAGAGCATCCGTAAGGTAAGATGTAAATTACAATGCTGCCTTGCCTTGAATTTTGAGCTTTCTCATTAATCCATGTTAAAGTTTGCTGAAATGCTTAAACAATTTAATGCACAGCCTCAAATAATTCCTGGAATCACAAGAATACTTCAATTATTAGAAATCCATTATGAAGTTTCATTAGCCAATATGAACTGTTAGTACAAGTTACAAATTACCATTATATCAAAGGGGGGAACTATATTATTTGAATAAACTTCAACTCTATTGACAATGTGTTGCACACTTCAAAATGCACAAGTATAAAACTTCAGAAATATTTTTAATCATGATATTTTTAATATCCAGAAAAAGCCAGAATGATATTAAAATGTGCTTAAACATGATGAATTAGTTCTAGTTCTTTTGCTGGAACACATAATTTAGGGCAATCTGATTTTGAAAGTTTTTTGTGTCCCCCCTGTTGCTGAGTCCCCTAAATCACACAACAAAGATTCACTAGCAGGGTTTAAAAAGTCAGACTGTAAATTGTCTACTCTGCTGCAAATGATGAAAGTACAGTGAAGGAGAGACACTCTACAGTAAATCTGAGACATGGCAGAGTACTTTGCTGATGGTATCACATTCTCACAAGGGTCAAAGCAGCAACATTACACCGTTACTGTAAAATGAGGGGGATTAAATTTAAGCATTTCATGAGAAAACAGGTCATAAAAATATAGTTTTAAACTCTCAGAACAGCAGAAAGGATTACATCTAAAATCCAAACCTCTGCTGACATTAACGATAGTCAACAAAAGTTTTCCTTTGAACCAACAGCTGAAACCAAACAACCAAGAAGCACAGGAAACTGCACGAAGTGTGTCTCATTACCACCATAAATGTGCAAAAAGCTAACAAGAAAACAATTAAAAAAAAAAAAAAAAAAAAGCTTCATTTGGAGCCCACTTTACCTGCAGGACCACTGGCCTGAGAACAGGGCAGCGGAGTACCCAGACGAGGACTGAGTCTGCTGGGCTCCTGCTGCCCCATCAGGGAAGGGTAGAGGGGCAGGACCCCGAGGGCCTTGCCCAGCATACGGGGCCCCAGGCTCAGCACGCGGACCTTCACGTCCCGGTAGCAGTGGTTGATCATACGCAGGTGAACGTTCACCCGAGTGGTGATGCGGATCAGACACTTCACCATGGCTGCAGCATGCAGGAGCCTGTTCTGTCTTTATGGTCCCCGCCCAAAGTCCAGGCTTCGGGTTAAAGGCTTTATTGCTTCTGACAGAGGGGGAAACGGTAGCTTTCTGTGAACACTGCTATGATCAGCAGCACCAGCCTCCCAAGCTTGGCCCCACCCAGGCCAGTGACATACATGGAGCAGAAGACACTGGTTATTTTCAGCTGAGGTATTTATACCTCCCTAAGACATCTAGTCAGCACACAAGCGACGGTGGGAAAGTCTTGCTGCTCTGCTTAATATACACAACACACCTACTTCTGTCTTCCATCCATATTATTGCACACAGAGCACAAAGTTAAGAGTGTGACCGTGTGTCACCGCTTTACCCCAAGGCCAATCGGTTCTGGAGCAGAAGGCCGCAAGTCACTTCAGATGGCAGTGTGTTGGCAGAACAGAAACACAAGCGTACACATATAACTTAAAGGCTCTGCTGATCTGAGTCAAAGTGACTGAGTGATGCTCACGCCTGCAGTCGCCTGTTCTGACACGAACTCAGCCAAATGGCTCCAGTTTCAGGCAGAACGTGAGAGAGTTTGAGATGATTAGCTGAAGACAGAGGAGGAGGAATTCTCTAAAAACAGGCCCAGAGGCTCTCTAATTCAGTTCGAGTTCAGAGTCAGAGACTTTGCGGACACATAAAATAAAGGATTGTGCCTTGCAAAGGCATTCGTCGGGCTTGAACTATTTCTGCAAGTTTGTCACGGTACAAACTCATAATTCAAGGTGTTCTGTTGGGATTTTAGGCGACGAATCAAAAATACCAAAACAAGTGAGTGCGATGGAAGGAAAACGATACATGGCTCCCGAAATTTTCAACAGATATCATCGCAGCTCTGGCTGTACATTTGTGTTGTCCTGCTGGGTCTTTTGTAGCTTCAACAATTTCTTCCAGAAATGATGTATTTACGTAGCTTCATCCATGCTCACATCAACTCTGACCAGCTGCTCTGATCCTGCTAAAGAAACACGCCCCCACAGCATGATGCCGTCACGACAAGGATTGTGTGCAGAGTTAGCTTTCCTCCACACACACCGTTTAGACTCTTATCGTGAAATAATCGATGTCTAATGACGTGGATTCTATTTTAGGACTTCAAGGTAAAGGACATTAAAGACATATGGACGATTTTCTTTGATAAGCATGTTGGGAAAAGTTTTGAAATTTCGGGTTGCAACTTGACAAAATAGGAAATGTTCAAATGTTAGGAATGTATGATTGGCTTGCTATTGAGAAACACATGGGCAACTATTTCCTTACCCTCCATGATAGATATGTGCACAGCTCTCCGACGTGTACGGGGAACACTGCTGAGGCGAGGCCCATGGGTGATGGATGGACAACTTCTACTGGGCACAAGGCCAGCCCTGTTATTTAAAAAAGACAACCAACATAATACAGGTTTAAATATCAAAGAATTAAGCACAATGTAACCATTAGGAGGCAGTGCTGTAGAAATATTTACAACAACAACTAAGTATGTGAGGTCATTTTTTACCCTACCTGTGTATTTCTGGAGGTTCACGTTTGATTCTGGCACTTTGCTCCATCACCTCTTTCGCTACTCTTCCACTGTTTTAAGATAAAGAAACGATACACATGGGAAGTTTAGCAGTTTCAAAGTGTGATCAGTTGCCCTTCATTTCCACCTCTACCTCCCCTCTCCTCTGAGGTGTCGCAACCATCCTCTGGGAAGAAGCAGCACAAAAGGTCGGGAAGTCACATCCTCCGGAAATAATTATATCCACCTCCAACTGTGTGTTTTTAGTTTCAATGTCCTCTCCTCCCTGTTATCACTCAGGCTGCCTTGCTGGGTAGTCTACCTGTAGCGGAAACGGCTGCCCTTGAAGAACAGGTTGCTGCTGGAGACGGTGCGAACCTGGCTGGACTTCTCAAGCCTGACCAAACGAAAGGAAAAAAAAAAAAAAAAAAAAGAAACAATCAAGTCAGTTAAATTTAAAGAAAGGATAGAAGAAAAAGAATCATTAAACAAACTACTAATATTTTCCTCCATGATTTGCTTGCCAGTAGCAATCTATGAGGAAATGTGTAAAAAAAAAGAAAAGAAAAGAAAACAGTTCTTGGAACAGAAAACAGGATAACTAATATGTATTCGCATTGCAGAATACAGATAATACACACAGGATTTTTTTTTTTTTTTTTTTAATTGACACTCGCAGGTTGGATAAGTATATTCGATCAGGAAGGTGGGAAAAGTTGTTTTAGTTTTATTTTTTTATTTATTTATTTTTTTTGCCAACAAAAAAATAAAAACTACTACTGTTAGACTACTGCTCTCAAACAAGCAGTAGTCTAGGTGAAATGGGCTGGAGGTGACAATATTTTAAAGGTCTTTCAAAGTTTTTCTTCGGATCTCAGGAGCTTTTTCGTTCTTTCTAGTCCCTTTAACTGAAAATGGCAATATTTTAGGCTATGTGTTGTGCTTAAAAGTTTGAAAACTGGAAAACAAAAGACAAAGACTCAAACCTAAAAACTCCTGCACATGCTTCAGTAGAAGAGCTGTCATTACTGCACTCCTTTTAAAAGCAGAATCTGTTTTTTAAGCTCTAATGACCTTTATTGTGCAGTAAATAAAGGGGAGAGAGAAGCAAATGTCCCAATCGAACCCAGGACAGCTACATTGAGAACTATAGCCTCTAACCATGGTGCTAGCACTCTACCCAGCACCCCAGACTATTAGTTTTTTGTTAATCAGCTGTAGATCATGGAGATCCTGAACTGTAACTCATGGCTAAGACATTGGAAGCATCTATCAGGAAAAGCACTGAAGTGTTTGGAGTCTCATTCCTGAGCCTGCTCAGAAACTAAAGATCAGCATGACCTCACGTCTCACTTCTCCAGCTGATAAACAAGCTGAAGGGAAGGGGTTTTAAGGACACCATCGTGATGTGATGGTATCCTGTCTGACACTGTTCGGGGATGGAGAGAGGGCGAAAGAAGAGCCTAATAAAATATGAAAGCTGCAGACTCACTTGTAAAACGCCTGATTCTCCACGCCACACTTCCAAAGGTGCTTGCATGCCTCCGGCGTGGGCGCAAAGTACGTTAAAATGATCTTTCTGTCCTGCACAAAAGAGATGTGGAGATTTGCAGAAAAAGAATAGCCAGCTGTGACAAAAAGCCACACCTCCGAAGCAAGACACATTAAATAAATTCACTTGCTCACCTCCTTCTGATTTGCATATATGTGGAAAGTCTTGGCTTCGAATTTGAGCTTGGACACCTCGTTCCTGTCCGGGAGAGCAAGCGCAATCACCGGCACACGTACAGCCGCGCAGAAACAGAAAGCCACAACCTCTTTAAATATTCATGCAGCCACTTTGAGATCACATAAACAGCCACGGCGCTTCATGTTTAGCTGACAAAACAAATTAGCGATAATATTCCCCAGAGGAAGAGAAAGAGAGAATAGAGGATGGGGGAAGCTGGAGAACAACTGAAGGCAAACAAAGTAAGCTATTAAAAATACACGATAGTGCATTTGCCTTTATATTGATGACAACAATCATGCCCGTTACAGAAAACAGAAAATTACTCTGTTGTAGGTGTTTGTTTGTTTTTTTTTAAATTACGTAAATACTGTTGGTATGAGCCACTTTTTGACCTCTACTAAGATGCTCAACACATCTAGCTTCTGTAATTAGCCATCTGTGCATGTAAAAGCCGCTGTCTCGAGGCACAGGCAGAGGAACAGACTGTTGACAGTGGCTGTACAACCAGCTGTAGTACACATCATGTTATAAATAACAAACAACAGGTATGTCAGACTACATAAAGTAGAGGCCTGCCTCTTTTTTTTTTTTTTTTAAGTCTTTGCTGTTTGACGTCCACACAAGACGCCACAGACCATGATGAGAAAGCTTTGGAGTTTTGTCATAAGAGGAAATAGATAAAGACACTTTATAGAAAATAGATAAACATGTCCAAATAAATAAATACATTCCCTCTCCATTAATAAACTTTGCTTCTGGTGTATTAGCCCTAAATATTTTCTAGTACACATACATGGTTTTAGTGGGTGGATCAGAAAGTTGCATGTTAGATTCCAGCTTCCTCCTGTCGCATGTCGATGTGGTCCTGGCCAAGCCACTTATCCTCAAGTTACTTATTTATCTGCACTTTATACGAAGGTGTAAGTGTCACCATATCATATCATATCTATCTAAGAGTCTTCATGTTTGCTCTCACCATTTAAGAAAGTGAACTCTCTTGTTTCCCTGAAGAACCACAAAGCCAAATGGCGTGAAGGCGAGAAAAGCGGGGTTCCCCGACACATCCTAAAATATTTTAAGATATACAATCAGATTTAGATGCAACAAAAAACAAAACAAAACAAAACAGAAGACATAGATATATGGACCAATTTTTGACACGCAAACAAAAGTAGGTAAAAGGCCATAAAATAAAATTACGTTTTGTTGCAACAGTGATGGTAGGATGGAAAAAGCTTTTCTCCTGTACGATTCCCAAACAACCAGTGGCAATTAGATAGCATTTAGTGGTTGTTGAGACTACATTAGTACTAAGAAATTATTAGACACTGTGATCAACCATTCCCTAGTATTATATTTTTTCCTACTGAACAAATGTACTCATGTTTAAAATTGAATTTTTCTCAGAAATTAGGAGTGAGATTATACAACTGCAAAGAGATTTTTCTTTTCATTTTGTAGCATCTTATATAGACGAGGACTAATATATAGACCATTCTGGCAAAAATGTGTGTTCGAGCAACTTTCTGTGGCAATAGTTTAACATGACAGCTTGGACTGAAATGCCTGAAAAATGTCTAGTAATTAGTACCACGGTAGTTAAAAAACTGCCTCTCACCTTACATGGATGCGGATCAACACCATATGTCTCCAGCATCTGGGCTTTCAGCAGGAAATTTCGCTCTGATGTTTCAGGAGTCTGTCCGCTGAGGAAAAGCAACAGCCCAGATGTCAGTTCATAATGAGCCTCAGTTGCAGAGGAAAGGCTTTGCCACAAGTGGGCAGCAGCGTGTTATGTTATGCAGCATTCATCACTAAACATCTGACTTGATTGATACAATAAGAACCCTTTTGTGTGTGTCATTAAATATTTTAAAACTTATCTATGCGCCAGCCTACATTTAACCTAATATCTTACCTAAAAAAAATGTAAGAAATATATAGATTTGTGAATTAATTCAGTAATGCATGTAGTTGTGTATGAATGAGATGTAAAAGAAAAATAATCTGTGGCCTGATTAACAAAAAAATATTTATTGTCTTTACAGGTTCCACTTTGTAATTTAGGTTTTGTGCTGATGCCAATGCTTATTTCCAACAATAACCATTTATAATTTCACCTATGCAAAAAGAATAAAAATTAGTAGATCTTTATTTATCTTTCCCATCTGTTTAGACAACTGATATTTACCAACTAATACTTCAAAATATAGGCAATTACAAAAATGTAAGGAGATGTTTAGTGATGTTTTTCAAAAAGCAAAATCTGAATTAAACGTTTATCTACATCATCTCTTACATCAACTCAGTTTTGTGTATTTCTGCGATCCGGCGCTCCAGTTTCTCCGAGTGCTTGGGAAAGAACTGAAATTTGGAGCTGTAACCTTCAGGATGCTTCCTAGGGTCGTAATCACCAATCTCGGCTAGAGGCGGCATCAGAAAAAAAAGATAAACGGAAGTTAGCTCATTCCCCAATCCTGGCCCGGGATTAGCCGAGGCCCTTCATGCCACATTGCACGCTCTAAGCTGACCGTGATGCTGATTTCTCTCTACAAGGAGAAGCTGACTAGGCAGGCCATCTTTAATTTATCAGCACATCTTCCACCAAACAGGAGCCTGCCCTCCCAATGAACGCGGTGCTTTCTGTGAAGCTCGCTGCGCCAGACTCCAGCATCATCTCTTGGATTTTTGTTTCTGTAGCTGTGCACGTCTGACGAGGTCCCAGACAAAATATTGCACCAGCTGAGAACAATTATAATTTACACAAATACTAGAGAGCAAGCCGCTATAAATAAACTGACAATTAGGTGTGAAACGGTGATTACGTATCTTACATAAAAACACATGCAGGTACTTTAATGAGGTTTTTTTTTTTTCACATAACTAGAAAAGCCACAGGAAATTAGCCTTCTAGCTATATAAGTAAGCTAATCTGCAGAATATAGACATCAGTGAGCAGCACTCATTTCTGTCTCTTTTACTTACCTTGAAGGATGTAGGCAGCCAGCATGGCAGCATCTGAGGTTTTGCACAGGAGGCGGCCGTGGTAGAGGTCTCTCTTTAGCTGCAGGAAGACCAAATATCTACAAAGGACAAACATATATGTCAAAGAAGCACTCAACGCAGAAAAAATGCAAAACTAGAGCAGGAGTAGCAGTACAACAAACTCAATTCATTTCAAATCACTTTATCAAGATCACCTTCCCTAAATGTGGGTTTTAATCATTTGATTTTCAGCTCTTGAAAAAATAAAATAAAATAAAATAAGAGCAGAAACACCCTACAGGAGAGAGCTGCTCCTCATGCTTGTTTTTGTAGCCTCCAAGACTAGTTTCAAACTGATCCAACCGCTCAGCTCCTCAAGGATGAACGTTAATGAGGCAACATTTGTAGCAGAGATTATGATAATGAGAAGTGGTGCTGACTATTATTTCCTGCTATCATTATTCTTTGTATTTTAGAGGCAAGGACACTGCAGTGGAATTACTGAACATCTGCTTTTAGGCAATAAAACAGTCAGGCAGACCTAATTTCTTCACTCTGTTACCTCCACAAAAGCTGATGACGTTTATTTAAAAGTGGATCCTTTTGTTGAATACAAAATGAATGTTGCATCACATGACAGGACATATTTACTCTGCTTCCTTTTGTTTTCTTATACTACTGTTTCTGTGCCTTGCAGAGCATTCATACCCTATGAGTATTTTCCCATTTTGTCATATTACTGATGAAATGTTTACTTTTTTTTTTTTTTTTTTGGGGGGGGGGGAGGAGTGCTAATTTTAGTCCCCTTTACTTTAATAGCCCTAGATAAAAATCTTACATGCCTTCAGAAGTCACCTAATACATACAATTTAATCTCCAAGAAAATCCAGCTGCACTGTGAAGATTTGTCAGAGAATATTTGCGGACAAATATGAAAATCAAGAAACACAGCAGGAGGTCAGAGAGGAGTTTAAAGTGGAGTTCGACTGGTGGAGATCCTCATCAGTTATGACAGGAGCCACCAAACACTTTGATGGTGTCGGATGTTGACCTTCTTAGTCGGACCGCGACCCCAAGCGAAATTTTGACTTAATAGCCAAAATACATGCCACACTGTCACATTAAAAAGTGTTTAAAATGTTACAAATCTTTTATCGTTTCCGTTTTGTAACTGATGACAACCTTGTGTTAATTTACCGTGTGAAAATAAATAGAAATTCGTCAGTGTATAATGACAAACTTTGGAGAAATTCAAAGTTCAAAGCAGGCTGATTACCAAATAATAACTCCAAAACATCGGGAAACCTTTACAACTTCCTTCATTGGATTAAATCTCTGGGAGAGAGAGAGAGAGAGAGAAAAAAAAAACATATCCTGGAAAAGCTGCTTATTTTTGTGTTTGTTTTATTTTTGTGTTTTGCTATGCAGCACACAGAACAGTCTGACCAAATCATGGTGATTTTTTTGCTCTCCCACCCTCTGCGCAGTGACCTCTCCACTGTCATAATCATGTATCATGCTGTCCTCCTCCCCTCCCATTCTTCTTTTTGCTTCACACTTTCAATCAGCCCTCCTTGCCCCTTATCTCCTCTATCCACTCTATTCATTATATACACACTACATGCGGTGCACACTGAATCTCATTACGCCTCGAACAGAGTGGACTCCTCTCTCTTCAGTCGGGTAATAAAAACATGTGGACACTAGAAACACATTCGCCAGCTGACTGTGCTCTGCATCATCTGGAGGAAATCTGCCTTTTTTTTATTTATTTCTGTAACCTAATGTGGGTATTAAGAAATGTGACATAACTGTATTTAGAAAAAAATTACCAAGTTGCGGAAATGTGTTCATTTACACAGAAAAATCTTGCCTCATGTTGCCTTTTAATGTGCTTTCCATTATCCTGGAGAGCTACTAGGAAATGCTTTTATGTTTCTCCCAGCTCCTCCTAAAAACTGTAATATTTAGCATAATGTTTTCAAACCCAGTGCTCAGTCATTTTAATTATGAAACGTTTACAAGTAACGCTTTAAAAAGAGCCACGTTCGGGCAGTCCAAAGGCTTCATACAAACATCTGCTCTGAAATTAAACGTAAAAAATAGTCTTTCTGTAAAAAGGTCTTTGCTCATCATCAACTGAAACAGATGCAAATTACCTCTGTAGAAGGAAAATTAGGGTAAGAAGCATTTATTAACTCCTTCTAGCTGAATGCCACCACATGTCATACCGAGTGATTTCCTCCTTGAGAGCAGCAGGATCAGGAGGGTAGAACTTTACTCTCAGACACATGGTGAACGGAGGCTGAGCTGCAGGAGACAAAGAGGAAAGCTTTAGATTAGACAGCTCTGTAAGTGGAAGTGAGCGGGAAGATTTAGCTCTTGTATGCAGAAAAGAAGATAATTTCTTTTAAATCTTCATCAAATGTGCTCATAAGATGCGAATTTTGAACATGTCTAAAGATAAAAGCCCATATCTGAACACATGACGGTGGCATCCTTAACCCTGCCAGCATGCTGTTTTTCCATTCTATTTTCTGAGGGTGCAGGTTAAGGGGTTTAACCAATAATGTGGAAATCTTCCAACTAACTTCTAGTGTTTTAAAATATCTATTTTCTCCGTCTGTTGTTCTTTAGTAAAACAAACGTTGTTGCACTTGATATGCACTGAAGCGAAAAGCTTTGTTGCCTCAAATTTAGGAAGGGTCTGTGTTGGTTTATGCACTTAAAAAGAAGTGAAGTAAACTTACACAGAAGGTACTTACATTTCATTTGCTTTGAAATTGATTTGGTGAACTCCAACCAGTGCTGCATCGGGAATGAAAAAGAGAGACAAAGAAAAATGGCAAAATGTCTGAGCAAAAATTACCTCAGCAATAGAACAATTCTCACATTGTGTCATTAAGCAGACACTTCCAATCTCAGCTGCCTGTATGCTTGGTTGTTACTACTGACAGTTTTCTGGAGAAGCCCATCCAGACAACACTTGAGGATGTGACAGAGCTGACTGTGAAGTGCAGCGGCATAAAGCTGTTTGGAATATAGACGATGTTGTAAGTTTAGTTTTTTTTTTTTTTTTTTTCCCCAAGATCTTCAGAAGATGTGAAGATGCAATACTGTTACATGTCAGTGGAAGAAAGACTTCTCTGGGAGATCAATTCTTCCATGGAGACAAACACATTCTCTTTGAAACCTTGTCGGACCCACGTCCTGTAAATGGAACCCTGATTCTGTAACATATTTTTCCGGTGATGCATTCTCATCAACAAAATCCACCTACTCACAGCAGCTAATATAATAGCTCTGAGCAGACGGGTTGGAGATGTAGCATTATCGTGGGTCACCTGATGTCAGAATTTCTAAATGGTTTCATCCATAAAGCAAAACATCTATGCTTCCAAGTAGAAGCACACAAGCATTTTAGTCTAAACATAACCATTTCTGTGGATAAACTGCATCTATCTGCATTATTAATTTGACTGAACAAAAAGAAACGCATTTGAGCATCTCTGCTTGTCCTTTTGCATTTTTAATCCAAAGACAAACTCGGTTTTGTATCTCAGTATCTTCTTTTAAGGCAAGTTGTTGAAGATTAATTGCAAATGACAGCAATGAAAAGCCATCCTGTGGATGACCTTCTGTAGTAAAAAGTACTGTATCTTATTAAGAATAAAATGAATTTTAGAAAATGCCTCCAAAGATCAAACATCCAAAGCCAGAGTTCAGTCAAACACAGATCCTCACCCGCTGCTTGTCTGGATCCACATATCTGATGCCAAAGTAGTCTTTCTCCAGTAGGTTTAGCTGCTGGCAGAGGAGGTCAAACAGATACTGTCCTTTTGCATCCCGCTGTAAGAGAGGACAGGAAAAGCTACACTTAGGCCACCATCTGTGCATGAATGTTCTGGAAGATTCAAAAAAAGACAAGGCTGGGGAGAGATTTAATATACGAAACTGTGTAGTTCGTCTTTTTTTCCAGATATCTGTGGTAATAATCCACAGCCAGAACCATCTGTGTCTGAAATAAATTCTGTCACACAGCTCAAAGAGAAGCGAGAAGACAGAGGACGGATTAAAAGTGCCCCACCAAGGAGTTTTGCTACTATGTTGAATTCTGAATCTTCAAAGGGGCACAACAGCCAGAGGAGGAACACTCGAGAACCGTCCGTCCGTCCATCCATTCCTACTCTCACTCTGTGTTAGATGAAATTGATGGCTGACTGAAATGCCCCAGGCAGCGCTTTCCTCCCTGCTGTAACTCATGCTGCAGATAACAGGCACTTCATTAGGACAAAGGCCTGTCAATACCAGGCATGTTGTTTAATCAGCCTGACTATATATGACCAAACGCTGACTGGAGTGCAGCGGCCGGAGGTAGCTGACCTTTTTGTAGAGCGATCGAGGAGCTTCATGGGTGATCGCTGCTGTCACTTTAAGACTATTAGTCCAATGTAATGTCCCTAACAGAGCTGACATGCCTGCTAACTGACCAGACCTAAATAACTGAGGAGTAGCTTTCTTCTCGGAAGCAAAGATATCATTTTCATTCCATTGCATGAAACTAACAACTCAAGGTGTTAAGCGCCTAAATCTCAATCACTTTTACAGGACTATGATCTCTAAACTACAACAACAAAATGGTCAGCAGCCTAGAAATAAAACCTGTGGCCGTCTTAAATTTGCATGACGCTTGTTTTGCAAAATGATTTCTATATCAGCATGTTCTGCTTCAAAGGAGCGAGGCTATATA